GAAAATGTGCAATTTTTCTCCAGTTTTTTTTGGAGCTTAGAGCCGGCTTAATGGAACATGTCAAAACCCACATTTCTCAACCTGCAAGGCACCTCAATAATTGCTAATATAATTCTAGTGTGAAACATTGAACACTAAAAATAGAAAAGTGCAATTTTTACGTTTTTTCTAGGAGCTTAAAGCGGGCTTGATTGGACATGTCAAAATATGCTAATATATGGGAAATTTCTTAAATAGTGTAACCTCACATTGCGTGATGCTCTATAATGATATCGAATGAAAGAGACCCACCTTGGTGTCAGAATTGCTCCTAATTCGTTTGTTTTCTGCAGAGGAGCATCATTGGGAATATTTATGTAAATTAAGGCAAATGTGATAAGATGAATGATAGCACCCATAAAAATAATAGCATCGCGTCCTATTTTGCTAGTTCGTGCACCAAGAATTCCAAAAAGCAGTCCAGCTAAAAAAATAGGAATTTCCTTTTATGTTTGATCGCTTAAAAAGTGTAAAACCTGCTATTTGTCCCAATCCTGCAGCAATCGAATTTAGTGCAAGCAAAGAGTTTGTATTTGAGCCCAGTTTTTGGGTAAAAGAGATGCAAGTAGGGTAGATTCCTAATGTTTGTTACATATCAGGCAGTAGTTATAATCCATATGAATACCTGTCCAGAATGCTTGTTCAATTCCAGTGTAGGCAAAGACAAAAGCCAATAGCAGCATTCGCTTAGTGAACATCAATCGAAATGTTGAGCCTGTAATAGTACACGGTGTACCAGCTATAAAGAAACTATTTGCATAGAGTTCTTGAACATTTTTAGCATATGCTTTGAGAAAAGTTTACAAGTGAAGACTTTCATTACAACCAACGCTTCAAATACAAGTTTGAAAATAAGATTGCAGACGTTTTTATTTTGGTCAATTCTTTTCTTTGCATAATTAATAGAAGAAATTCTTGTTTCCAATTTCTTCTAGCTAATTGCTGGAAAAATTTACCATAAGAAGAAATTGTGTACATCGTTGGGTCACTAAGCAGAGCACAATACTAAGATTTATGACACAAAGGTTTCTCCAAGTTATGCAGCTCTTGATTTCCAGTAGATATGCAGCTCTCCGTCAAAAATTTCGCAAATACAATACCGCTCATAACTTCTGCAAAAAAAACGTGATTTCACATTAAAATCCGTCGCGACGGGATAATCCGTCGCAAAACGTCGCATCGTCAT